CTTGGAATACTGGCAGAGTTAACTGGTAAATGAAACTTTAAGAATAAAGAAAGAGAAGAAAGAACACGAGTACATGTATTATAAAAATATTATGTTCACTTTGTAGGTAAGAAGTCAGGCTGTGCTAAAGGAAAAGGTGGTTCGATGCATATGTATGCTCCAAATTTTTATGGCGGGAACGGTATTGTGGGAGCTCAGGTGAGATTGAACGTGGGAATGATGTGTATAGTTACGTTGGGAATTATTTTTAGGTGCCATTGGGGGCTGGGATTGCATTCGAATTGAAATATAACAATAAGGACAATATTTGCATTACCTTGTATGGAGATGGTGCAGCCAACCAAGGACAAGTAAAAGGACTTCTCCCTGTACCATTTTATATACATTTTTATTGTTTTTCCTTCTCAAGGTGTTTGAAGCATATAACATGGCTGCCTTGTGGAAACTCCCAGTCATTTTTGCCTGTGAAAACAACCGCTATGGGATGGGAACTGCCGTCCATCGCTCATCAGCGTCCACTGAGTATTACACCAGAGGGGACTACATTCCTGGAGTTTATGTTGATGGTATGGACGTGCTTGCAGTGAGAGAGGCTACTAGATGGGCCAAGGAGTACATACTGGCTGGAAATGTTAGTATTTTTCTGCTAGTTTTATATACAATAATAATATCCCCAGTAAAATTATAGAGGGGCATGAATATTATCTTGGCAAACTTTATAGTCCATGGCCTTTTACAAACTGCCTCGTAGCTGAAAAATTGCCATCAGAATTAGCTTATGCATATAATTATGGCCTTGTACTTATTGTATTTTGTTAGGGACCTCTGGTAATGGAACTGGATACATATCGTTACTATGGACACAGTATGAGTGATCCTGGGAAGAGGTACATTAAATAGCAGTACAATAATAGTTATACTGATATATGTGTACTTGTAATAATAGTTGTAGTAATACAATAATACATGCTACTATACTTGCTTCATTCTAGCTATCGTA